TGTTGCAGCCGCTATAAATGTCAAAGAACTGTCAAAGAAATAGCGGAGCTCTCTGCAGGGACACTTTTTGCCAGACTGGAACTCCTCCTCCTCATCCTCTTCTTCTTCATCCTCTTCTTCTTCCTCTTCATCCTCTTCTTCTTCATCCTCTTCTTCTTCTTCTTCTCATCCTCTCCTTCTTCATCCTCTTCTTCTTCTTCTTCATCCTCTTCTTCTTCATCCTCTTCTTCTTCTTCTTCATCCTCTTCTTCTTCTTCTTCTTGTATTCCTCTTGCAGGTTTCTGCTCATGCGCAGATTTTTTATCGGTAAAAAGATCGGCCGGTTTGCCCATAATTGCCGTGAAAATCAGCCGATCGGCAAAATCGGCCGATCTTTTTCAAACTTTACCGATAAAAAAATCTGCCAAAATACCGAAAAAAAACGGCTGACCTATTACCCCACTAACGATCCGAAAATCGGCCGATTTTATTTTTGGCCGAAAAATCGGCCGATTTTCGACCCATCTTTGGCCTGCATAAGGCTTAGAAGGTATGAAGGAATGGAACCTACATTATATTGCCAAAAGTGTTGTCCCACCCCTCCAAATCATTGGATTCAGGTGTTCCAATCACCTCCATGGCTACAGGTGTATAAAATCAAGCACCTAGGCATGCAGACTGCTTCTGCAAACATTTGTGAAGGAATGTGTCGCTCTCAGGAGCTCCGTGAATTCAAGCGTGGGACAGTGATACGTTGCCACCTGTGCTATAAGTCTATCCATGAAATTTCCTGGCCACTAAATATTCCACGGTTAACTGTTAGTGGGATTATAACAAAGTGGAAGCCACTGAGAACAACAGCAACTCAGCCACCAAGTGGTAGGCCATGTAAAATGACAGAGCGGGGTCAGCGCATGCTGAAGCGCACAGTGCGCAGAAGTCACCAACTGTCTGCAGAGTCAATAGCTAAAGGCCTTCAAACTACGTGTGGCCTTCAGATTTGCACAACAGTGCATAGATAGCTTCATGGAATGGGTTTCCATGGCCAAGCAGCTGCATCCAAGCCTTACATCACCAAGTGCAATGCATAGCGTCAGATGCCGTGGTGAAAAGCACGCCACCACTGGACTCTAGAGCAGTGAAGACGTATTCTCTGAAGTGATGAATCACGCTTCTCTGTCTGGCAAGCCGATGGACGTGTCTGGGTTTGGCGGCTACCAGAAGAAAGGTACTTGGCTGACTGCATTATGCCAAGCGTAAAATTTGATGAAGGGGGATAAAATTTGATAAAAAAAAAAAAAATAATGTATATGAAAATAATCATAGTAGTAACACTGGCAATGATGATAAAAATAATAATATTAGTAAACATCATAAAAATAAAAGTAATAAGACTAGTGGATAATGGATGATTATCAGTTCAAAGTAATGAGTGTGGCTGTAGAATATATATATCTCTTCAAAGATATATTATATATAATATATATATTATATATATATATATTTTTTTTTCTTTATTATTTTTTTATTCTTTTTTTTTTTTTTATATATATTTTATTTTAAAAAAAATGTTTTCTATTTATTTACATTTGCAGGTGCTATATTCATGTATTTTTAATAACTTTTTATTTGCTTTGTTTCTTAGTGAATGCATATCTCTTTGTATATATGTATGTACAGTATATGCGTTTATAAAAACTACAAAAGATTGCACTTTAAATAACCCCCTCCAACTCCTCATCTTATAAACAAGTAGAGGAGGTGGAGCCTTGCTCCCAAGGCATCTAGCCCTGGTTATTTTTTACTACTTGACCTCCATACAGGTTGGTCATCAGCTCTGATAAAAAAGGGATTCGTCCCCGAAACGCGTCAGCAATTTGACCGCACTTACAGTGAGAACACCTTGCCCGCCGTTGTGGCCATTGTCATTTTTCTATGCTTTTTAGATACATGCTTCATCTGTGAGTATGTTTTTATGATCTAATTCCTACAATAAACCTTGGATAATGCACTAGGTGTGTGCACCACCTGTTTTCTCTCTATCCAGTGGCTGATTTCCCCGTCTGAGGAGGGCTGCACCCCTGGAACATTTCCTTTTGGTTGTCGCTGTCCTGGTACCCTTGGCTTCCCTTTTGGCTGTGCATATCCTGAAGCGCTGGAGAGTACATACGCTATCCTGATATGCACATATTGCCCATTTTTTCTGGTCTAGGTTCTACATCCAAAATGCCATTATTGGCAGGTGAGGCTGTGAGTCACAGTGATAGGCCAACAGTAAGGCTTAGGAGGTAGGAGAGGGTGGAACCTGGCTGCGAACCAGGTTTGGTCTAACGTTCATCGCCTAAGGTGCTGCAAATTCTCAGACATTCTGATATAAACATATTGTCCATTATTCCTGGTTTAGGTTCCTCCAAAACATCACTATTTGCAGGTGAGACTGCCAGTCACAGCAATGAGCTGCGATAGAGATTAAGGCTTAGAATGTAGGAAAGAATGGAACCTAGATGGTATGTAGACTAGGTTTTATCTGGTGTTGGCAGGTGATGCTACCAGTCACAGTGATGGGCCAACAGTAAGGCTTAGGAGGTAGGTGAGGGTAGAACCTGGCCTTTGAACCAGGTTTGGTTTCACGTTCATTGCCTGAGGTGCCCTAAATTCTCAGACACTCCGTTACACATATTGTCCATTCTCCCTAGTCTAGGTTCTTCCAAAACTTCACTATTTGCAGGTGAAGCCACCAGTCACAGTGATGGGACAACAGTAAGGCTTAGGAGGTAGGATGGGGTGTAACCTTTATATGGTTTGCTTAGGTCTCATAGTTATCATCTGAGGTACACGGAATTCCTAGGCACACTTATTCGCACATATTGTCCACTTTCCTGGTCCAGATTCTGCTTCTAAAACTATGAGATGAGGTTGCCAGTCACATAGATAGGCTGAGAGCAAGGCTTAGAAGGTAGGAAGAAATGGAACCTAGATGTAAACCAGGTTTTGTCTCATGGTTATCAGCTGGGGTGCCACAAATCCCCAGGCAGTCTGATTTTCCCATATTGTCCCTTTTTTCTAGTGTAGGTTCTACCTGCAAAACTTCATTATTGGCAAGCAAACCTGCAAGTCACAATAAGACTTAGGTGGGACCTGGCTGTGGACCAGGTTTGGTCTCACATTCATCATCTGAAGTGCCCCAAATTCTCAGATTCTCCAATATAGACATAAGGGGAGATTTACTAAAACAAGAGCACTCAGAATCTGGTGCAGCTGTGCATGGTAGCCAGTCAGATTCTAACTTGAACAGCTTCTTCAATTAGGCTTTGGCACTAAAACCTGGAAGGGGATTCGTTTTTGTGCAGAGCTGCACCAGATTTTTCGCTCTCCAGTTTTAGTAAATAACCCCCACATTGTCCATTTTCTTTGTCTATGTTCATCCAAAGTGTCACTATTTGCAGGTGAGACCACCAGTCACAGTGATGGGCCAACAGTAGGGCTTGGGAGGTAGAAGAGTGTGGAACCTGGCTGTGAACCAGATTCATTCTCACATTCATTGCTTGAGGTATCCCAAATTCTCAGACACTCTGATATATACTAATTGTCCATTCATCCTGGTCTAGGTTCCTCCAAAACCTCATTATTTGCAGATGAGGCCATCAGTCACAGTGATAGGACAATAGTGAGGCTTAGGAGAGGGTGGAACCTAGCTATGAACCAGATTTGGTCTCACATTCATTGCTTGAGGTTTCCTAAATTCTCAGACACTCTAATATATACTTATTGTCCATTCATCCTGGACTAGGTTCCTCCAAAACCTCACCATTTGCAAATGAGGCCATCAGTCACAGTGATAGGACAATAGTGAGGCTTAGGAGAGGGTGGAACCTAGCTATGAACCAGATTCGGTCTCACATTCATTGCTTGAGGTTTCCTAAATTCTCAGACACTCTAATATATACTTATTGTCCATTCATCCTGGACTAGGTTCCTCCAAAACCTCACCATTTGCAAATGAGGCCATCAGTCACAGTGATAGGACAATAGTGAGGCTTAGGAGAAGGTGGAACCTGGCGGTGGACCAGATTCGGGCTTATATTAATTTCCTGAAGTGCCCCAAATTCCAGCCAACCACTGACCATCAATGCTGGGGGTCGGGGTTTTCTTTTTACAGCCAGCTGCTAACCACCAGACCTGGGGGGCATTTTACAGCCTTCCACTGACCACCAATGAAGGGCTTTATTGCGACCACTTATGCCAGCGTTTATCAGCATGAAAAAAACCCAATGGCCAGTGTGTCCAGGAGCAGCAGTGTTTTAGCAGAAAAAGCACTTGATGCGCATAAAAACACACCGAAACGCGTGTTAACACTAGGCACGCTTAGCGCTTGAGCATTAATTAATTACAATTGAATTAAATTATTATTCTGACCAATTAAATGAATTGACGCCCAAGAGCTTGACGCTTGCAAATGTTCCTCAATGCTTGTAAAAGCGTTAGACACTTTGCCGAGTGTCAGGAGGTTTTTCTGCCAAAATCCAAGAGGAGGGGCATATTTAACCACTTCCCATCCGGCCCCTGTATATAAACGGCCTGAAGGGAGCAGTGCAGGGGCGGGAGGCCATTTATAAACGTCCTCCCTGCTTCCCTGCTTGTGCGCGTTCCCTGGGAGCGCACAGCACCGATTGTTGTACGGGACCTCTGTGCGAGGTTCTGATCATGTGATCACTGATTGGCCAATCAGTGATCACATGAACAGTAGTAAACAATATGTCACTTCTGACATCATTGCTACTACCAGTGAAATCTGTGAATGATCACAGAGATCACATGGTACAGGGCTATTCACAACAGCCTTGTACCATGTGACAAGCTGTGACCAATCACAGCTCTCACAGTATTTCTCAATGGCTGCAAGAATGTAGCCAGAGAGGAGAAATTATTGATTTTACAGCCTTTATGGGTGTAAAAGCAATCTGTAAAAAAAAAAAAATCTTCATCACCCCCCACAAGTAGTACAGTGTCACTATGTACTGCTAGGGTGACGGTATATTAAAAAAAAAAAAAAAAAAAAAAACATAAATAATAATATAAAAAAATAAAATAAAAAAAAAAGTTTTTTAAAAAATTATAATTTTTGGTTATAAACTAATTTGGGTTAATTTTTTTGTTACTAAAAAGATAACTGAATACATTTTGGCCAAGATTTATGAAGAAAGATTATTTATTTGCAAAATTTTATAAGAAATACACTTTTTTTTTTCAGAATTTTGGACTTTTTCATTTATATAGCAAAAAAAAAAAAAAAATTCCAGTGTTGAATAAATACCACCAAAATAAAGTTTTATCTGTCTCAAAAAAACATGCTAAAAAATTAATGTGGGTACAGTGTTGCATGACCGCGCAATTGTCATTCAAAGTGTGATAGAACTGAAAGCTGAAAATTGGCCTGGACAGGAAGGGGGTGAACGTGTCCGGAGTGGAAGTGGTTAAAATGTCCTGTATACACGACTCCTTATTGTTCATATCATTTACAATCTATGTCTTTCCTTTAAAAACAAGTCTCTATATTTGAGATAGTGCTGCCCTCTCATGACTGCAAACAATAACGCACATCTCATTAAATCATACTTATAAAGAAGAACTCCCCATAGTGTTGTTGAACTCCATAAAGTGTTAGGAAAAGAAGCCTAATATTTAAAGCTTAAGTTTATTTAATTTTTTCTATCAGCACTAGGGAGGGGACTTACATTGAATGAGAAGTGTCCCTTGTGCTGATAGATACTGTGATTGGTGAAATCCTAATTCCCCTGCCCTCCCCCCCCAGATACCTCAGTTGCGGGGGTTATTGCGAGCCACTGGACCTGTCCCAGAAACGTCAAAAGTGCCAGCTTTGCCCATCCTTTCCGACCCCCTGCTCCATTTATAAAAGCTGTACTATGACTTCCCACAATGAAAAGTACTGTATAAATGGAGGAGGTGGACCTTTCATTCATCTGTCCATCCTCCATTCATAGAGTGCTCTTCTGGAACAGGACTGTGCTCAATCAGCCATATACCTGGCATTTCAGCCAGGATTTGGACAGCTCTGAACCCAGAAATGCTCAAAGCTGAGCAGGGCTGCTGTTAGAAAGCACGGGGCCTCACACATAGTGGAGTTTGGAGTGTGACTGTTTGAGGTTGTGGACAGGTGTCTTTTATACTGATAACAGGTGCCATTGATACAGGTAATGAGTGCAGGACAGAGGAGCCTCTTAACTAGCTGCCGACCGCAGATAGCCGAATGACGGCTGCACTGCGGCCAGCCAGTTCTGAGTGGACGTCATATGACGTCCTCCCAGAACGCGCTCTCCTGCGCGCCCCAGGGGGCGCGCACCCGGCGATCTCCGTTATCGCTGTGTCCTACGGACACAGCTGATCACGTGATGTGGTAAAAGGCCAATCACAGCGGCCTTTTACCACGTGATCAGCGGTGTCCAATGACACGCTGATCACAGGGAAATGCAAGTGCTGGTTCTCGGCTGCACTTTCCTCACGCTGTCAGATCGTGAGGAAAGTACTCCCCCGAGAACCGGCAGTTGTCAGAGCGGGGATCGGCACCAATCATCAGGGCACTGATGATCGGTGCCCCGCAGTGCGCCCGCTAGCTCCGCCCACCTGTGCCCAGCAGTGCACCCACCTGTGCCACTCTGCAGTGCCACCTACCTGTGCCCAGAAGTGCCACCTACCTGTGCCCAGCAGTGCCACCCACCTGTGCCCACCCACCAGTGCTGCCCACCAGTGCCACCCACCAGTGCAGCCCAGCAGTGCTGCTAGTCAGTGCCACCAGTCAGTGCCCAGGGGTTGTGCCAGTCAGTGCCGCCAGTCAGTGCCCAGCAGTGATGCCAGTCAGTGCCGTCTATCAGTACCCATAATCAGTGTCACCTATCAGTGCCGCCTATCAGTGCTGCATATTAATGCCGCCTATCCGTGACACCTCATTAGTGCTGTCTATCAGTGCCGCCTATCCGTGCCACCTCATTAGTACTGCCTATCAGTGCCCTTTAGTGCTGCCTATCAGTGCCCATCAGTGCCGCCCTCATCAACGCACATCAGTGAAGGAGAAAAAATACCTGTTTGAAAAATTTATAAAAGAGACAAAGAAACTTTTTTTTTTTTCAAATTTTTTGCACTTTTTTTATTTATAGCGCAAAAAGTAAAGCGCCCAGTGGCGATTAAATACCACCAAAAGAAAGCTCTATTTGTGAGAAAAAAATGATCAAAATTTCATATGGGTACAATGTTGCATGACCGCGCAATTGTCAATCAAAGTGCGGCAGTGCTGAAAGCTGAAAATTGACCTGGTAAATAAGGAGGTATAAGTGCCCGGTAGGCAAGGGGTTAAAGAAGAAGGTACAGGTCTGTGAGAGCCAGAAATCTTGCTTGTTTGTAGGTGACCAAATACTTATTTTCCACCATAATTTGCAAATAAATTCTTTCCAGATCAGCCAATGTGATTGTCTGGATTTGTTTTCTCATTTGGTCTCTCATAGTTGAGGTCTACCTATGATGCCAATTACAGGCCTCTCTCATCTTTTTAAGTGGGAGAACTTGCACAATTGGTGGCTGACTAAATACTTTTTTGCCCCACTGTATATATATACTGTATGTTGAAATGCGTTTTCATTACAAAGTATTTGAAAAATATTTTAAAAAATACACTTCAATATACTGTATGTCTTTAAAAATACAAATCTACATTTTTGGAATGCATTTACAAATATATGTAAAAAATATATGTTAAAATTACTTTTTTATATGTAAAAAAAGAATATATTTAAAAAATATATATTTAAAAAAATATATATTTAACTCTACCCCAAATTACATCACCAATCTTCTCTCCAAATATCACCCAAACCGTCCTCTCCGCTCCTCCCACGACCTCCTGCTCTCTAGCTCCCTTGTCTCCTTCTCCCATGCTCATCTCCAGGACTTCTCCAGAGCCTCCCCCATCTTATGGAACTCTCTACCCCAATCTATCAGACTATCGCCTACTCTGCCCACTTTTAGGCGATCTCTGAAAACCTCTCTTTTCAGGGAAGCCTATCCTGCCTTTAGCTAATAACCGAATCTTCTATTCCTCCTACCAGTACATCCGCCACAGTTATTACCTTTTGTACCACCAGCCCCTCCCTCTTAGATTGTAAGCTCCAAGGATCAGGGCCCTCCTAACCCTCTTGTATTGAACTGTATTGTTGCTGTATTCTTTCCCTTTATATTGTAAAGCGCTGAGCAAACTGTTGGCGCTATATAAATCCTGTATAATAATAATAAGGCAAAAAAATTTTTTTTTTTTTTTAATCTCAGGTCTTTTAATGCTTTGCGTTCTTTTGTAGTACGCTTTGTCGCTATTAGTACATCCGATCTGATAGTGACGTCTGAAACCACATTCAAATATTTCTTTTTAGCTTCACATTTGGCTTGGCCATCCTTGATGTACAGAACAATGTGAAATTTGACCATGGGTGTGGCCGATCTGGACCTATGCCTGGTAATATGACATCTAATGGTTTTCCTCTTTCCTGTCTTGGCAATGATAGGGGCTGTAGGTGGGTATATCTGATATCTCCTGACTCTGAGCTTTTTAGTATAGGACACCACCTTATACAGGTAAGAGGAGTTCATTACCAGCACCCGACACGGTGGTCATGTGAGAAACGCTTTACAATCATAACTTTTTCTGTATTTAGACATTTTTCGCTTTTTATTCTGGGTTTCCATTAAAGAGATTTGGATACTTTGGGTTCCTTTGATTAGTAGACCAGCTTTTAACTACTTGAATCCCCCCAGGTCCACTCTAACATTTCTGTCATCCCACATATATACTGCATGTTGAAATGCGTTTTTTATACATTACAATATATATGAAAATATTGTTAAATATATATTTTTTTTAAATATATTCTCATAAAAAAGTCATTTTAACATATATTTTACATATATTTGTAAATGCATTCCAAAAATGTAGATTAAGTGTATTTTTAAAGATATACAGTATATTAGAAAATGTATATTTAAAAATATTTTTTATATATTTATAATAAAAACACATTTTAACATGCAGTATATATATATATTTATTAAAATATATTTTGAAATATATTGAATATGGACAAAATTGTAGAATTTCAAATATTTGGCAATATATTTGGGAAGAATATTTTAAAAATATATTTCAAATATATTTTTTCTTCCATGTGGGTATATAAGTACCTGAAATAAATAATAAAATAAAAATCCGCACCAAAAAAGGTGAAGGTCCCACATATATATACTGCATGTTGAAATGCGTTTTTTATACATTACAATATATATGAAAATATTGTTAAATATATATTTTTTGTTAAATATATTCTTATAAAAAAGTCATTTTAACATATATTTTTACATATATTTGTAAATGCATTCCAAAAATGTAGAATAAGTGTATTTTTAAAGATATACAGTATATTAGAAAATGTATATTTAAAAATATTTTTTATATATTTTGTAATAAAAACACATTTTAACATGCAGTATATATATATATATTTTTATTAAAATATATTTTGAAATATATTGAATATGGACAAAATTGTAGAATTTCAAATATTTGGCAATATATTTGGGAAGAATATTTTAAAAATATATTTCAAATATATTTTTCTTCCATGTGGGTATATAAGTACCTGAAATAAATAATAAAATAAAAATCCGCACCAAAAAGGTGCAGATCCCACATATATACTGCATGTTGAAATGCGTTTTTTATACATTACAATATATATGAAAATATTGTTAAATATATTTTGTTAAATATATTCTTATAAAAAAGTCATTTTAACATATAATTTTACATATATTTGTAAATGCATTCCAAAAATGTAGATTAAGTGTATTTTTAAAGATATACAGTATATTAGAAAATGTATATTTAAAAATATTTTTCATATATTTTGTAATAAAAACACATTTTAACATGCAGTATATATATATATATTTATTGAAATATATTTTAAAATATATTGAATACGGCCAAAATTGTAGCATTTCAAATATTTGGCAATATATTTGGGAAGAATATTTTAAAAATATATTTCAAATATATTTTTCTTCCATGTGGGTATATAAGTACCTGAAATAAATAATAAAATAAAAATCCGCACCAAAAAGGTGAAGGTCCCTTTTTTAAATCCGCACCTGAATCGCAAAGTACGAGTGTTCTCACCCATGCGGTGCAAATTCTGGCAATTGCATCGCGTTTCAACATACAGTATATATATATATATATATATATATATATATATATTGAAATATATTGAAAATGGCCAAAATTGTATTATTTCAAATATATGTCAATATATTTGGGAAGAATATATTTTTAAATATCTTTTTCTTCCATGTGGGATACATGTAAAAATCTGCATTTTTATCTGCTAGAAAATTACCTAGAAACCTAAAACATTA